TTAGTTTAGTATTATATATAGTATTTACGTATGTATATATGTATTTATGTAAGTAACATATGTCTGTACGTGCTGTAAATAGGAAATTATATTATCTCTAAGCATACAAATTTTATCTTAATAATCAAAAATTATAATGTACTTATGTACTCGTTCAAAATTTCTCGTGGTGCTTATATTTTTTTCTTTTTTTTTTTTTTTTTTTTTATAGATGAGAAAATCATAAATGTTTCTCTCTCCCTCTTTCTTTAATTTTTTTTTTCTTTGTTAATTTGTATCGATATTTTTCTTTTGTTTTTTTACGAACACACACGTTAGATTACTTTTGAAATATCGTCATTTTTGTTCTTCGTTCTATTACTGGATTTATTCCTTTTATTCGACTCGAACTCTCGAAAAGTCAAATTCTTTCTTTTCTTTCTTAAAAAAAAAAAAAAAAAAAAAAAAAAGAAAGAGAAAAAAAAGAATAAGAAATAAAAATCCACTTATTCGTATCCTTTCCTCTCCTTTTAATTCTATTAATATTCATTATGCTTTGACCTCTTTTCTAAATTCTTTTGACAGCTGTTTTCTGACCTTTAAGTAATATGCTCGTCCTACATATACACGGTGTTATTTTTTTCTTTATCAAAACGGCACGGCGTAAATATCGATAATAAAATGATGTAATTATACGTTCAATTCGTATTGATATTCTCTCAGATTTTCGTTAGGTTTAAAATAAAGATTGCTATATAAGGAAAAAAAAAAAAGAAAAGAAAAAAAATTTCTTACATTTATAAATCATGACAATCGTTACGAAACACCTGTAATATATCTTATATTTTTTTTACTTCTCTGAATACCTAATACAAACTTATAATTTTTAACATTTATTTATAATACCAATACGAGAGAATATATTTGGCTGTATCCTTTAAAATTGAGACACCCGACATATATATATATATATAGGGCGGACCATAAGTTTTATCATTTAAAAAATCAATATTCATTTATCAAAAACTGTTCGATCTGATCTTTTTTATTTTTCAGATTGTAGTAAAAAAGTTCGTTCGATTTGCGCGATCTTACAAAAAAAAAAAAAAAAAAAAAAAGATAAAAAGATAAAAAGAATAAAAAAGAAAAAGAAATTACACTATAAAATCAATCATAACCCAGAAATGTTGGATCCGCTTTATACATATTCTATAAATTTTCGTTTCAGATGATCATTTTAAAAATTGTCATCCAAACGTCGCAGGCTTTGATGTTTGCATAAGAGAAGCATTAAATAAAATACAGCCGTATTTCAAAACTGGACTTCCTCAATATAATGTCGAACCATTTGATCCATTTTTTGCGAAAAAAATTAGCGTCGAACGTGGAGTGCCAAATTTTGGATTTACATTGACCCTTAAAAATGTCACCGAAAGTGGTTGGGCCAATAGCAAAGTAACCAAATTCGTCAGCGATATACCAAATTTCAAAGTATTCAATTTTCTTTTTATTTCTGTTTTTTTTTTTCTTTTTTTTTTTTTAATTCGAACATTTAGAGTTGCATGATCTCTTTCGAATATTGTCAATATTATATTGTCAATTTATTGGTTGATTTTGATATTGAGAATGATCTATCTTTCTTTCTTTTTTTCTTTTCCTACTCATTTTTTTATGAAACAAAATCGATAAATCTGGTCAGTGTGAGATTTAAAAAGAAAAATATTACAATGAAAGGGAACATTATACAAAAGACGAATAATACAATACTGCTACTGATAATATCGATAATAATAATAATAATAATAGTAGTAGTAGTAGTAGTAGTAGTAATAGTAGTAATAGCAGTAGCAGTATTAGTATTAATAATAATAATAATAATAATAATAATAATAGTGTTTATTAGTAATAATAATAGTAGTAATAATAGAATTATTGTTACACAGAAAAAAAAAAGAAGAAATAAGAAAATAAATAAATATTTGATTTCAGGTCGTCTATTCGCAAAGCTTTCCAGAAAAATTATTATTTGGCGATTATGAATTTTTCGGAAGATTTTTCGGCTCGTCGATACGTAACAAAGGAAAATTTACGCTGACTCTGTGTAAGAATTCTATCAGTTATTGGATTTTCCATTCGTTTTCATCGAAATATAGAAAACACAGACTGCTACTGATAGTTTTCTACCTTTCTCTTTTACAGACGATCTCATCCAAACGACGACAGTTACTAAACTCCCAGGTCAGAAGATTAAGGTTAACATCAACGTACAGATCATACGGGATTTGAAACTTCACATCACGAATCTTTTATTTGGACGAGAAATACTCGAGGGCGTACTCGATAAAATTATTAATGGCACTTGGCAGCCAGGATTTTTACTGACCAGAGGAATAATCAATGAATTAGTGTCGACCGCTTTTACCGAGATTTTTGATAAAGCATTTAAAAATTTCCCTTTTCAACGAATCATCAAGCCCAAGTCTATTCGTTCAGAATAAAATGGAAAAAAAAAAAAAAAAAAGAAATAAAAAATAAAGAAAAAAAAAATGATAATAATCAATTAATTGATATGAAAATTTTATTATGATCGGATAAATTTCAATTATTATCTCTTTAATTACTTTAATTTTATTTATCATAATAATCTCTCTTTCTCTCTTTCGCTTTTTATTTCTTTCTTTTTTTCTTTGCTTTTTTTTTGTACTCAAAGATTATTTTTTTTTTTCATTTATAACATTTCTTATATAAATATACTAAACAACAATGTAATAAAAATAATTTCTTTTTTTCCCTTTCCTTCCCCTTTCTTCGCATTAGCAAAATCGTTATTATTCAAAAAAGTTCGAAAACATATGTCATACTTCTAAATAGATCATCATTCGTCGAACCTTCATTATAACATGAAAAATCTTCTTCAACAGAAACTGTAGCTGTTTACCTTGAGAAGTTTCCAAGTTATCCGGTTCTTGACCTCACATTCTTAACAGGGTATAACAAGATCTCTTCTGAGGTTCTTCTCGCATGAGTCGATACCCAGTCGGATGGAAATTGAAATTTTACGACATTTGAAAAAGAAAAGAAAGAAGAAAGAAAAAAAAAAAATAAAAGAAAAATAAATAAATAAATATTTTATTACGACTGACGAATAATTTTATATGTACTAAAAAAAAAAAAAAAAAAAAAAAAAAAAAGAAAAAAAGAAAAAAAGAAAAAAAAACGAAAAAAAAAAAAAATCGAAAACAATTAACATTATCAAGATTTCTATAGACATTTATTATTGAATGAGATCCCGATGATAATTTTGAAAGAAAGGAAAGATAAAAAGAAAGAAAAAAAGAAAGAAAGAAAAAAAGGAAAAAAAGAGACTTCATCGAAGTATATTATTTCGAAGCACGTTTGTTACGATAAATTTGAGTCAACTAACGGTGCTTAAAATATACTGTAATAAAATCGGTTAGGTACGTTTTTGATGACGTCCGTGCTAACGTATTTCGTACATCTTACGCTTTCTTTCATCGTATTGTATAGCGATTATTTATTGTTCATTGTATCTCTACCCATCCCACATCTCTACCCCTCCCTCTCTCCCTAGTAAATTTGGAAAATCATTCACAATTCACGTCATAGATACGTTTTTTGAATCTTTGATTTGGCTACGTACGAAATTTTCATATTATTAAGAGTAAGATTTGCAACTATTTTCGTTAATCTTTTCTTGTCCTACATTGACTTCCTTGTGAGAAGAAGAAAGTTTTATAGAATTTAAAAAGTATATATATATATATATATATATGTACATATATGTATGTAAGTATTTATGCCTGTATGTTTGTATAGTTTTAACTTAATCTAATTATTTTTTCGTGAGATCATTCTAATCAATATATATATATAATATATATATATATATATATATGAATGATGAGAAAGTATCGAACATCTTTTAACTATAATAGATAAATAATATGTTAAATTTATTCGAACGATGATAGAGATAAAGAATTTTTGAATCGTTTGTATTTAAGTGGAAAAAAAAAAGAAAAAAAAAAAGAAAGAAGTATTATTAATTAATATTATCACGCGTAAACTCTTTAAATTGCGTTAATTATTCATAATAGAGAATGCAGGTCAAACTTTTCTACATTAATGATTTTCTCTAATATATTCTGTAATGCCGAAAAATTGAATAGAAACGAACGATGTAATAAAATCTATACTAGACATTGCTAATAGTTGATCTTGAAACTTGTACACACACATGCATACATATATACACGCACACGTACACGCACACGCACACATATATCTTTCTAATAACATACTTTCACTAGATCGTAATACAAATAGCGAAGTCAATTAAAAAATAAATCGTATAATAATATCTCAGTCTTTCAATCGTTTGATCTTGAAAGAATTACAATGATAGATTGAATTAATAAAAATAAAAAGAAAAGAGAAAAAAAAAAAGGAAAAGAAAAAATTTTTAATTACAAAAAACAAAGAAAGGACAAGAAAAACGTAGAAACAAACAAACGAAAAAAAGATAACTCTCTCTCTCTCTCTCTCTCTCTCTCTCTTTCGATTTTTAATACATGAGTTTAAATGTCTATTAGGTTTCTAATGTTCTACGGAACGATTATAATTGCATTAGCAATAGTATCTTAAGTGTTGTTGTGGTAAATCGATGGGAAAAAAAAGAAAGAAAGAAAGAAAAAAAAAATAGAAAAAGAAAAAGAAAAAGAAAGAAATAAATAAATATTTACGTAAATACATAAAAAAGAAAAGATGTAATGTTAGAAGAAAACAATGATATCTACGATTTCCGAGGAAAGTTAGAATTCATGATAGAGATTCTCTCTCTTTCTTTCCCTCTCTCTTCCTCTCTCCCTCTCTCTTTCTCTCATTTCTACTACATTCTTTTTTCTTCTTTCCTCTTTCTTCTTCTTTCTTCTTTCATCTTTCTTCTGTTTCTTTTCTTTTGCCCTAGACATTCTAGTAAGGCGATGGAGGGATTGTGGGAGGGGCAATGTCAAGGTGTTATAAGTCTGTGAGAATCCTTTCCAGTTGGTCATTCAACGGAGAGAAATTCAATCGGTTAGAGTAGCAAACCGTAAAGAAAGAATATAGCTATTATATAGACTAAGGTCATTAGTTCGATTCGTACGATTAAAGATTAATCTTATAGATAAATAGTGAGAAAAATAGATTAAAATGATTAAATCAAATAACAGTGTATTAATCGTGTATGTGTTTATATTAACGATAATCATTGGTAACGTTAATGGGATCGGTAAATATCGTGGCCTTGAATTTTTGGAACCTTGCTCTAAAATCGATCCTAATTTGGAAAGTTGCCTTGCCAAAACTGCTAATGTTCTCGTTGAACAATTTCGACACGGTAAGATATAATTTATTATTAATACTATTTAATGATATAATTTATTATTGTAATTTATCTCAATCGTCGTTATATATATATATATATAAAATATCGATACTATTTAATGATTTAATCGATATTATTAATTTTTATTTCATATTTTTGATCTTTTTCTTTTTAATTTATAAATTTTTATATTACTGTTATGCTATTGTTACTACTACTATTATTATTATTATTATTATTATTATTATTATTATTATTATTATTATTATTATTATTATTATTATTTATTATTATTATTATTATTATTATTATTATTATTATTATTATTATTATTATTATTATTATTATTATTTATTATTATTATTATTATTATTATTATTATTATTATTTATTATTATTATTATATTATTATTATTATTATTATTATTATTATTATTATTATTATTATTATTATTATTATTATTATTATTATTATTATTATTATTATTATTATTATTATTATTATTATTATTATTATTATTATTATTATTATTATTATTATTATTATTATTATTATTATTATTATTATTATTATTATTATTATTATTATTATTATTATTATTATTATTATTATTATTATTATTATTATTATTATTATTATTATTATTATTATTATTATTATTATTATTATTATTATTATTATTATTATTATTATTATTATTTTATTATTATTATTATTATTATTATTATTATTATTATTATGATTTAAATTCGCAAATCATTGGGGCCGAGATTAAATATTTTCAATTCATGATTTATTCCAATGTGTGCTAATTAGATTAGAAAGTTCTGACATCGTGTAAGAGAATGTTGAATATCATTTAGAAAATTTATTTCATTGTAATTAGCCAAAGCACGTGCTGTAAATTTGATGAGAGTTGTTAGCAGAAGCTTTGTTAGCAGAAGCAGGTTATAACGGTGAATTCGAATGGTCACCTGCAACCTACATTCCAGTTACTGTCTACGGCACTGTATAGTAGTACATAATGAAGATTTTACATATTTATTCATTTAATACAAGTTTCTGATAATTTTTTTTTTTTGTTTCATTTCTCTTTTTTTTTTCTTTTTTTTTTTCTTTTTTCCTTTCTTCAATCGCAACTTTATATACCTTCAATCTAAAAATTTTCTCATTCTATTTATATTTATCTTTATAGGTTTGCCACAATTAGGATATTCTGAGGTTGAACCAATAATTTTGGACGAATTACATATAGCTCTTGGAGGTGGTCCCGATGGATATAGAGCACAATTCGTGGACATCAATGCAAAAGGTGTTTCATCGCTCAAAGTGACAGGTCTCAGAGCAAGATTGTCTGACGATGAAGTACAATTGCAATTGGTCCTTAATATTCCTAGAATTACGGCTGTTGCTAAATATAGGTCAACCGGTACATTGATATTGGTTAAAGCCAGCGGAGCTGGAGATTATTGGGGAGAATATGGTATATGTAAATCTTATTTGCGATTTATATAGAATAGGAAAAAAGAAAAAGTATATACACATATATATATATATATATATATATATATATATATATACATATATATATATACTTTTATAGCGTAAAATAATTCTCTATAATAATTATATAACAAATGCAATTTAATTCATAGAAAGTCGTTTATTTTTTCATTATTTATTTATTTCTTTTTTCTAAATGATTTCTATTTTAATACTAATTACATATATATATATATATATATATTTGCTTTGAAAGATAGATGATTTCTAAACGTGAAACATCTTTCAGGTAAAAGTTTTGTCAACTAACAATGAACTTTCACTTTTGACGCAATAAATTTATTTAATAAATTTTCACTATCGTCCAATTAGTTCTATTAAAATATTAGATCTTATTGGATACTACGTAAATTATAAACATTCATTCAGTATACCGTTCGAGTGCAATATAATTTTGATAAATTATTGACGCCTGATAATAGGCAACCCAAAATACAACGGTGTATTTCGATTGCGATCTATCAATACGATCTTATGTCTCATCAATGATTTTTTGTTTTCTTTCTTTCTTTCTTTTATAGAGGGCGTCAAAGCTAAAGTATTTATCAGGGCAAAACCCTTTATGATACAAAATCGTCGCTTTTTGAGGTTGCAACAATTAAAAATGGATTTCAGTGTACAAGATATTAAAATGGGCGTTAAAAACGTACACGATGGCAATACTATACTTCGTAAGTATGATTTCTTTTCTTTTTTCTTTTTTTTTTTTTCGAACGAATAAATTTACTGATCTTGTTTGTTTGCTCCTTTTTTTTCTTTTTTTTTTTTTCCTTTTTTTTTATAGAAGCCGCTTTGAACTTGTTCATTAATAGTAACGGTCAAGAATTATTAAAAGAAATGAAACCAGATTTGAGAAGAAAGTTGGTCCAAGTAATGTCGAATTTCGTTGAGAAACTTTTCGCTCAAGTACCGTACGACGCTTGGATTACCGAATAAGTAGGACAAACGATATTTTTAATCCTATTTACGTTTTCCTCGATCATCGAATATATATATATATATATATATATATATATATATACATATATATATATAAAATATATATATAATACATACATTGATATATGTATGTAAATTTTTTTACACACTCACAAACGTGTTCGTAAATGCTAAATATGATAAATATGATTTGAATCAAAAGAGAGAGATAGATCTTATTGGTTGATCAATTATTATTATTATTATTATTATTATTATTATTATTATTATTATTATTATTATTATTATTATTATTATTATTATTATTATTGTTAATATTATTATTTGCTTTAAAAGATTGTCAGTATTTTGTTCCTCAAGTAAATTTGTGAAAACTTATTTACTATAATTAATTAAATTCAAGTTTTACGACGAATCGGATCTTAGTCGTTTATTCTTTTTCATTTATTTTTTAATTTAACAATTTCGTTATTGATTGTTGGATCGTGTATAAATAGCTCGATTATATAGTTAGAAATTATTACTATTATATTTCACGTATTGTATATAACTATATACACTTGTTTACATTGCGAAGATAATGATAAGAAAAAGAACGATTAGTAGGTTTTTTTGTTTTGATTTTTAGTTACTACATCGTTCTATCGTTTAGATTAAGATTTTTTTTTTTTGTACGATTCTGTATTTATTTAATAAATGACGTCAACCTTTTTGTCGACAATGATTGTGTATTTAACATTGTGACATCTCATATAATACTTATTGGAATTTAAAATGTAATGAACGTAATCTTTACGTGACAGTAATCATTGAAACGTTTTATTTTTTCTTTTCTTTTCTTTTCTTTTCTTTTTTTTTTTTTATTTTCATTCCAATCTCATTTCGATACTTTTATCATAATTTTTGTCCTTAAGCTTTTCTCTTTTTCTTTTTTCTTTTTTTCTTTTTTGGTTTTTTTTTTTTTTTTCTTAAATTATGTCATCGACGTTAATACGAATGATTTCAAGCGAAGTGTTTCTTTTTCTAATTTTTCTTTTCATTTTCAATTACGATTCTTTTTTTCCTTTTTTTTTTCTCACACAAACTTCTTCTATTTAAACATTATTTCGACGAATTAATTTATCATTGATAAGAATAATTTTCAAACGAGGTTTATTAAAATTATTTATTACAAACTTTTCGAATAGATCTCTTTTTCGATTGTCATCGAATTAGTTCAATTCAGTAATTCAATCATAACGGCGTCCATAACTCTCTCTCTCTCTCTCTCTCTCTCTCTCTCTCTGTATTTCTCTTTCTCTTTCTATCTCTCTCTTTTTCATTTCAATCGTTTTTTGTCGAAAAAATTAACAATTATATGCTTAAATGTCAAAGTTTATATTAACAATTACGAGAGATAAGATCTCATAGTATCAATTGTGAATTTAGTAGACAGTAGATAGATTGAGAATAAATCATTGTTTCGAAAGACTTTATAAGCGAGCACAAGTCACAGAAACGTGGTTCTTCAACGTTAATTGATAAGCGTGCGTGTCCTTCGAGAAGATACGTGCTGTAAATAAAAATATCGAACCTTGAAAATATATTCCTTTTTTATTCTTAATACATTCATAAAATAGCATTTATCGCAATAGTTTTAATCGATATAAAATGGTAAATTTTTACGAGTAACTTTATCGACATCATTAAGATGATCCTTAAGTGTATATATATATATATATATATATATATATATATATATATATATATATATACTATATATTTAAATTTTATTCTTCAATTCTCGAGATCATTTTTATTTCTTTTCACAATAATAAAAACAAAGAAAAAAAAAAAATAAAAAATAAAAGAAGAAATAAAGAAAAAGAATAAAGAGATATAAAAGAAAAGAAAAGAAAAAATAAGAGAACAAGTAAAATAAATAAAAAGAGAAGAATCGCTGTAGTGTTTTAAATAAATCTAATGAAATACGTACGAAATTTTATATATATATATATATATATATATATATATATATATTCCGGTGGACCGGAAAGTAATGTCGCTTTCTTAAATTAAATTCAAACAAATAAATTTTTAACAAGTTTTTATTTTTAATCACAATTAAATATCGACATGCGCAGAAAAGACATTACTTTCCGGTCCACCTAATATATATGTATATTTATATATATATATATATATATATATATATATATATGTATATATTTCATAAAAAAATTTTTTATATATTCACTTTTATGTTTCTATAAAAATACTTTTATAAGCTAAAAGAATCTTATTTTATACTTATTTTATATATCTTTAGAGCATATATTTCATATATAATCATTTGTTGAATATGCATCTAAGGCAAATGAATGAATGAGCACTAAATTGTTAGATAATATTATATTATAAATACGTACGTAATTAATGCTTCTGGTGGATTTAAGGTTAATTCTATAAGAATATTGTAACGATATCATTGATTTTTATGCACGAGTATAATGCTATAAACATTTTACAAACATATCAATGTAATACGATTAAAATCACGAAACGATTATTATCTTATGCTTATGCAGATCCATTGTTTTTAAATAAATGTTCTTAATAGAAAGAAAAAGAGAGAGAGGAAGAGAGAGGAAGAGAGAGGAAGAAAGGGAGAGAGAGAGAGAAAGAAAGAAAGGTAGTATTAAGATATAGATAACACTTTAAAAGTTTCTTCATTAATGTTTATTAATTTCCAATCTGACAAGTACAAAAAAAAAGAAACAATTGTCATTTATGTATTATTATACATATTATTATGTGAACTTAGAACCTTTGACATAGGATTTTCTTGTTCGTTCTTACTAATATGTTACGCAATTACCGTTCGCACAAATAGCTTTCCAGACGTATTTCAGACATTCCGATCTGTCTAGTTTCTCATATATAATATAATTTATTTACAATATAATATATTAATTATATTTATTAGTTTTTATATTTTTATCGCGAAACAAATACATACCGATATCGTATTTAGCACATATAACATACATGGGTACAACCCAATAATTATAAATAACAATAAATACGAGAAAATGAGAATAAATGGGAATGTCTGAGAACATAAGTGCGATAGGAAAGCTTTCTGCGCGTTTCTCTAAATACTTACTGCAGTGTTCTATTATATTTAATCATTTATTTATTTAAAGTTCTTAGAAATGTAAAAGGGAAGTACGTTAATGTTTAGTTGGAATTTGATTGAAAAAATATTGAAAAAGTAATACAATATGCAGCCATTTGCTCGGTAATACTTGCGTTATAAGATTTACAATTAGTCTTTGCAAGTATTAACGACCCAGGTCTCACTACGTGGAAGTTGCTGCATGTGGAGACCCACGGACTGACGGTGACTCTACTCTAAAATCCGCGTTCCGCGTTACCGATCCGCGATACCTTTCCGCTTCAATGCATTGGCTTCTTAACTAACAGGGTATGCGTAGCTTTGGCTACTGCACACCTCTTACAGATAGCTCCACCATATGCACCGTCTGCTTCAGACATAACGGATTATTAAGCACATATGAATTCGTGCTTTCCGAATTACGAACAATCAAAGCGCACTCCTTAGAAATACTAATCGCGTCGCGACACTCACGTGTGTGTTATAATTACGTAGATTCTACTGTTAAGCCGAAATTCGCGAAGTACCCCCAACGAAATTTTGAAGAAATCAAACGAAGTCCACGGTAGGACCTTTAATCGCGCCCGAACACCCACGCGAATGTTAGAAAAACGATGACTCTACTCTACAATTCGCGTTTTCGATTCGAACAATCAAACGTAATATAATCGCGCCCGAGAACACCCACGCCTGTGCCCGCCGACACGCGCGCCAGTGTTCTTCCTATCCTTCCCGTATTCGCGTGTAAAAATCGATGATGAATCCAGCCAGGCGACGACGCATCCGTCCGCAGATGAACCTATCCCTCGATGACCTATCCTGTAAAAGAAAAAGATAAAGAGGAAATAATATATATATACATATACATATATAAAATACAAGTAGAAAATAAATATATATAAATCGATAAGAGACCTAGAAAAAGAAACGAAAAGAGAAGCAGCATGCATCATCCTATCGATCCTACCTAAAGCAACTAAATCATAATTAATAGAATATCTTAAAAACATAATTAAGAACATAATCAAAAATATAATTAAAAACACAATAAAACACATAATTAAAAACAAAATTAAAAGGAAATAACATATTAATAACACAATTGAAAACATAATTGAAAAAGAAAAATATGAGATAGAAATGAGAGCCGGAGAAAGAAAAGAGAGCCCCAAAAAGAGAAGAATAGAGAGCCCCAAAAAGATAAGACAAGAGAAACAGTTCTATATGATGCTGAGACAGCAGCCCGCACAGAAGCCCTCCCCCACAGGCCCCTCCCATGGGTCCCACCCGAGATTTATAAAGAATAATTATTGATAATAAATAAGAAAAAATAGAAATGACATAAAATTGTGATATAAAATTGTGATAGATAAATTTCCTTGACGTTCTGTAAGAAATTATTGTACAATAAATTCTGTTATATTTCTTCTTTTGAAGTATTATAAACTATTTAAAATGAAAATATGTTAATGTTTAGTTGGAATTAGTTTGAATAGATATTGGAAAAGTAATTCAATATGCAGCTATTCGTTCGTTAATACTTGCATTTAAAAATTTAATATTAAACTTTGCAAGTATTAACGATCCAGGTCTCACCACGTGGAGGTTGCTGCATGTGGAGACCCACGAGCTAACGGTGACTCTACTTTACTCTAAAATTCGCGCTCCGCGATACCGACCCTTATGCCTTCCGCTTCGGATATCTTGGGCATGGGACAAAGCTAACAGGAAGTATCTAGCCTTAGCTACAGGGACTCCACTTACAGAAAGCTTAACCGTTCGACACCCTCCGCCTCAGGCATAAGGGATTATTAAGCACATCTGAATTCGTGCATCCGAATTTCGAACAATCAAAGCGCATTAATCGCGTTCGCGACACTCAC